GAGACAAGTCTGTGGGTGCTGAGCTCGTGCTGACCCTCCTTCGCGGATGAAAGTAAAACCCCGGGTATTCCCGGATGCAATCGGCCAGCAAACCAGTAACGCACTGGCATGGGACCCTCCTTCCACAAAGCTCTCTCCCTGGGTTTAAAGCTGATTCATGGCACAGAGGGATGGGAGGAGGAGGGCGAGTGCAGCGAGCACCGGCTGATCTCTGCCCTTCGCGGCTGACCCGCGCGCTCGCTTCTCGCCTGCTGCGAGAGCCCGGCGTTCGCACGCCCAGGGACCGCTGCCAGCTGGGAGGGAGGGTGCCTCATCCAGTAACAGGTACAAACATTGAACTCCAGTCTCATAGCTGCCCTCGGCGCGTCTGCGGAGCAATTCTCCTCGCTCGCACAACCCCTCCTCCTAGGTTTTCTCTTCTCGGTCTGTTTTCCGCCTCGTAATGTTCCGAGGTTTGATTTTGAGTGACAGTTCCCACAGGGCCTCCTCAGCCAGGTGGTCGCTGAAATCGTTGAAGAACGACACTATGTCGTCGTTTCTTTTGATGTCGTAATGTCTGGAAAACCACAGAGTAGGGTGGCAGTTAAACACGGGGCCACCTGGGGACCTCTCCCAACTTCGAGCCACCCCTGTCCTGCTCTAAGGGGCATCGAGCACTGCAGTTTGGGTCCAATACTCCTGACTGTGGTCAGTATTTTTATGACACGGAAAAGGGGAAAAACCATCATGTCCATGGCTGAACTGGGAAAAAAAAAGACCCTATCACACTGAAATCAGCAGTTAGAACTGGTGCCTCTGCTGCAAGACAGCATTCTAGGAAACCCTACATGACCTAGAGAACATAGAAACCAGCAACAGCAAAACCTGGAGGAAAAACTGTTGCGTGAAAGAGAGTAGGAACACTTTATGGCACTGGATCTCAAAACTATTAAGGAAAAAACGCCTTCACAACTTTGTAGTCGTACCTAACCTAAGAGGGAAGGACACTGTGACCCCAGCCCTGTTGTTCCCAGGTCTCCTTACACCTCCATCACAATGCTTTAACTTTAGACTCCCTTCCCCATCCACAGGGGCTCCTGTGTCCCAGCACAACCCCCCCCCAATCCCCACTGTGGTGCCCTCAAAGCCAGCTCTGACCCCCCTGGTTCCTGCACTTACACTTGTTGGAAGCACCTCATGCTGTCCAGGATGTTAAACTGCTGCCAGCGCTTGGAAAAGTTCACTTTGCTTTCGATGTAATCAGGGTTTCCCAGATGAACAAAGGTCAGGTCCTGCAGAATAAGGCCTCTGAAAGGGAGAAAGGGGCAGCAGGGCAAGGAGTAGGCAAACAAGAACGGAGGTTAGTCAC